TGAGGACCTTCATAAGTCACAGCAGTGAATTTATTTGATTCCCTAAGCCCCACTACTTGAATAGTGCTAATCGACCGCACAAATTTTACCAGACCCTGCGAGTCCTTGATCACACTAGAACTTGTATTAAGTACGAAGATGTCACCATCTGGGATAACGCGAAACTGCTTCGAATATTAAAATGGGTTCTAAGCATGGATAAAGTAAATAAACAAACCTGTCTACCACTGGCAGAGATCATTTGACTCGAAGGAGCGCCTCCAAAGTAGTTGTTCGTATTACTATTCATAATGAGGTCGCCAGCAACAGCGTTGAATTCAGACTCTTGAATAGTGAATTGGGAAGCATTCTGGAAGAATTTTGGTGACGCCATTTGGAATGGGCTCCTTCAGAGCCAACGTCGAGGAGAAGTAGAAGTAGTGTTGAGAGGAAAGTTGGAAAGCTGTTCAATGTTGAGCGCCCAGTTCACATGTCACTTTCCAGTGATCATCAAGTTTGTGTCTGAACGGTGAAAAGTTTCCCCAGGGACCGCCTAGTAGTTGCCCCCATAGGCAGACTCGAATATACACTGGCGATACGCTGGATGCGTATATAGCCTACTAGTTCTATATGCCTCTTGGTTAGTAATTGGTTGGGAGTAAGAGAAAAAAAAAGAAGCACCGGCCCAACGTTTATAGGGCACTTACTGCTCTTGCTTAGGTTTACTGTATTGGCTTTGAGGATATACAAGATATGCATCTGAGGATATTTGAAATACTATGGTGTGTGTTATCCATCTTGTCAATCCTGTTGGCTTGTGCATACCTATGGAAAGCCGGAAGGCCTCGCTGTCTCGGAATGATTGGAATCAAAGAATTTCAATAGTTCCTCGGTGATTGAGCTATATCTGGTAGTGGGACCTCAGTCACCACATCGCAAGCGCACAACGGGCGCTCAATCAAATACTTACAGCCAATTAGGAATTTGTAGCATAGTCTTCGAAAAACGTGTTGAACGTATGATGATATCACTCATCATCTTGGTCATATGACGCTATCAGTCATCGCCGAGGTAGTCTTACTCAGCCTCAGTAGTATCTTAGTAAGTAGCTTTATGGACGACATCATAGGTCATGCACATAGAACATACTAGAAGAATACTACTATATATGTAACAAATACAGTACTATAGTATATAAGGACTCCAGTAGTACTGCTAATGATAACGACTTCTACTAGTCTTTTACCTCTCTCTATCTGCTCTACAAGCTTAACCACTTGGTGAGTGCTAGTCACTGCGCCTCCTAGCTTATATGCTGCGCAACAAAACACTCGTTAGTGATTTTGTTTACGAACAAACAACAACTGAATAGTATAGCTCCACCTCGAAGCTTTAAGTGGAGCGTTTCTATAGAGTTGTTGTTTATT